GAGCCGCGCCCACCGCCGCCATGCGCTGGGTGCGGGCGCTGCTGAAGAATGCGTCCCTGGCAGGGGCGCCCAAGTACATCGAGCACTTCAGCAAGTTCTCCCCGTCCCCCTTGTCCATGAAGCAGTTTCTGGACTTCGGTACGGAGTGGGCTGGAGGCGACTGGCCACGGGGCCGGCGGGGGCTGGGAGGACAGCCGGGGGCCGGGGGTGAGGAGGGGACCTGACGAGGAAGGGTTAACGCGGGGCCGAGGAGAGGCCCGAGTGACAGGGAAGGAAGAGCTGGTTGGAAGAGTTCAGGCCGAGAAGGGTCCGCCGGAGAAAGGGCCGACGAGGCTCCTGATCGGACTGTTAATGGGAATGGGGGTGGGGGCCGCTGCGAGGGAGGGGCTTTGTGAGGAGTCTTGAGAGGAGGGGCCAGGAGAGGTGCTGTTAGGGCGGGAGTGGGTGGGGTCCAGGCACTGAAGGGTTAACGGACCCCACCCTGAGAGTGGGGTCCGAGAAGAAGTGGGGGAAGCATGGGAGTGGCAGGGTAGAGTTGGAGGTGTGCTGTCTGGAGTAAGAGCTGGGCTGGCTGGGCTGGCTGGGGAAGGCGCTGCTGGGCAGAGAGTGGGGGAAAACTGGGGGCGCAGTGGAGGTGGGGGCTTTTGCAGAAGAGGATGTCAGCAGGAGAATGGATCCGGGCCTGGGCCTAGCATACCCCAGGCACTGGTGGGCAAGGGCACTTGAAGATCAAATCTGTCTGTCCCCACTAGCAGCCTGTGCCCAGCTGGGCAGGGGCCCGAGGCCCGGTGAGGTGGAGTCAGGCCGCTTGCAGCTCCCGTGGCTGCCCAGGGTTCCTGAGTCGGGACTGTCCACCACCAGCGCTCTGGGGCTGGCTCTAGGGCAGGAGGGAGGCTGTGCCAATGTGGCTGCTGAAACAGGCATTGTGTGGGCCTTGTCTGCATGGCATCCCCGTGGTGCCAGCTGGGGACAGGGAGGGCCGGCCCAGGTCCCTCAAGAATTGAGCTGATAGCACCTGGCTTAAGTTACAGCTGCGTCACTGACTGGAGGGGACAGGGAGGTAGCAGCAGAGGCTGGGCACCTGTTCTCCAGGACTTGTCCCCTTTACCCCCTGTTCTGTTTGAGCCTTGTGCTTCCTCCATGTAGCAAAGCCTCCTGGGCCTACACCCAGCAGCCGTCCAGCCCAAACTGGACCCCAGTTACTGAAAACGCCCCAGCTGTGAGGTGCCCACAGTAGGGTTTGGTCCACATATAGTACAGCAGAAGGGAAACTGAGACCTTTAAAAGGATGTGACATGCCCTGGGTGACAGAGTTGGAAGTAGACCCCAGTCTAAAACCCAGGTCTTCCGACTCCGGCTATGGCCTGTGTGCCCCCCACCTTTCATCCTGGAGCCAGGTCTGGTTCCGAGGCATTTGGACTCTCATCCTCAGGCCTCGTTTGCCTCACAGCTGGGCATTAATACGGCCATCACCACAACAGACATCCAGACCAGCCTGGGGAGGTGGGCTGGGCCAGAGATGACAATGGGACCCTGCAGCCATGGTGGTCTAGCCTGGCTCCCCTCAGACAGGGCCTGGCCTGGGTGCCTGGGAGGGGTGGAGATCCCAGGCCCTAAAGGCGATATCTGCTGGGAAGGCAGGAAAAAGAAGTACCATAAGTTTAGCCAGGGTACAGGCAAGCAGGGCTCAGCTAGGGGTGGGGTGAGGACACAGCAGGATGGTGTGGAGGTTCGAGCACCGCAGGGGATCAGGAGCACAGCCTTGCTGTGTGTCCTTAGGCAGGTCCTTTCCCCTCTGAGCCCCCAGTCCACCAAGGGTTTAGCTGACCTGCCACCATGTGCTGCCCTGGGGGCTCACCCCTCTCTCTCTCCACAGGGTCCAGCAATGCCTGTGAGAAAACCTCCTTCACCTTCCTCAGGCAGGAGCTGCCTGTGCGTCTGGCCAACATCATGAAGGAGATCAACCTGCTCCCTGACCGGGTGCTGAGCACGCCCTCGGTGCAGCTGGTGCAGAGCTGGTGAGACCCCGCTCAGTCCCTGTGCTTCCACTCCATCGCCTGGGGTCCATAGGCTCAGGGAGGGGTCTCCGTGCCCCCACTTCTGGCAGCCTTGAAGGCTGGGACAGAGGGGAGGCCGGGGAGTTGCCCAAGGTCACGTGGGAATCCTAGACCAGAGCAGGGACTCAGGTCAAGCTCCTAGCCTTGACCTTCTGTATGGCCCATAGCATTCTGGAGAACAGCCCTGTTCTTACCACCATCCTCCTCTGGAGACCCAGAATCCACCAGGAAATTGTAGTGTCACAGCCAGAAGCCCAAATCACACTGACATCACCATTAGCTGTCAGGTTCCACCCGGTCCTGGAACCTCAGCACCCCTTAGGAAATTTCCTTGGGATAACGTTGTGGGGAACAGAGAAAGGAGAAGATGCAACTCTTCGGACACGTTATGTCATCCAAGCGATAAGCCAGGCCGTTCTGGATGTTGGAGCACATGCGGGTAGACACGGGGATGGCACAGGGCATTTCTAAAGAGCTTCCCGGGGCAAAGACTGCGAGGCAATGGCATGGAAATAAACTTTAAACAGAGGGAAAGCCTTGGCAAAGTTCACCCAAGAACTCTGTCTGGGGTTAAGTAAGTGGATGACATTTGCAGGTGGCCAATCACATGAAGAATAAACAGGGGTGTGGTCTGGCACTGGCGTGTGCACGGCTCCTGAGCTGAGAACTTCCGCAAAGTCTCCTGGACTTGCAGTGCGCTGTAGCTTTTGGACTCGGGAGCACGTGTCTGCACCTATTCTGAGCCTGGCACCAAGTGGCATCTAAGAAAACAGGAGCAGCTGCTCTCTGGGAGCCCCCCGTCTCACAGGAGAAATAAAACATGCCCAGGCAGGTTGCAGCATAGACAGTGTTTGGAATCACAAGCTACCCAAGGGCTAGCTGTACTGAAATGAAACATCAAATTCATGATTGAAAGTAACATCGATTGGGGTTCTATCCCCCTCATTGTGGAAATATGACATGTTCATTTCGAGGAGCACAAAAATGTCGATAGAAGAACATGCCAGCCACTACCCTCTACCCCCTAACCAAGCCATGTAAGGTTCCGTAAGATGTATTGGTGCCCGGCCCTCATTCTTCTGTGTGGGGGCAGCATGTACGAGACTTACCCTAGTCAAATAAGATGGGCCCGGGAAGGTGTTGGTCCCACATGGGCAGGTGTATCGTCGGTACACAGGGAACAGTTCAGCCTGATGATATGGGAAGGTGAAATGGACCCTCAGGACATGCCCTGTCACTGGGCCTCACAAGGACCTCGGCTAGCCTGGAGCTAGAAAGAAGGGAAGGGCATTCCAGACTAAAGGAACAGCTTGGGCAAGGTGTGGGGGCAGGAAGGAGCCTGGCCGGACGTCCAGAACTTGCTTCGTGGATGAGGTGCTGTTAGTGCAAGTCGTGAAGGGGGATAGAGGGCAGAACCTAATTTTTATGTAGCAACCAGGTCGCCCTCACTGTACCCTGGTCCTCGGAGGGCCAAGTCCTCCGAGCCAGCCTGCGTGTCCCACTGCGGCGTGCTGTGCGTGGGGGAGGAGGCGGAAGGTGCCATCTGTTCCCCAGCCCTCCTCCGGCTCTGCCCGGCTGACTGACCTGGCCGCCGTTCTAGCTGCTCTCTGACTCCAGGACAGGCCTCTCAGGCCTGTCCCTGGACACAGTGTCCCTGGGAGATCCGTGGGCACTGAACTGCCCGTGGCTCCCCTCAAGGTCCCAAGAGTCCCTTCATGAAAATCGGTGACACATGCTTGGCCTGACTTTCTGTTCCTTCAGTGCCTGAAAGTAATGCCAAGTGACAGCAGGAAAGAACGAAGCTAGACTAAAGAGAACACTTCCCCGGATGATTCCATCGGAAGATAGCAGGCCAAGAGGCTGCTAGGGCACCGGGCACACGGACCAGTCAGCCTGCTGAGAACGGTCCCCCTGAGTGGGCCTCAGCCACAGCAGGCGGGACTGAGGTGTGAGGGCAGGAAGGACTTCCCGATGGGCCAGGCCAAGGTGGTTCCCTGTGGGAGGGCGTGGATCTTCTCAGGAGCAACCCCTTGCCCGCTGGGACCTAGAAGCAGTGGCAGTGAGGGCCGCCAGCCTGTGTCTGATGAGAAAGGAGCGAGACCTCTCCTTCGGAAAGCAGAGCTACCGAGAGGCTCAGTGCGGCTGGCAGTCCTGCTCAGCTGGGAGAGGTTCCAGGCAGGGTCACTGCGGGCAAGTTGAGAATTCCTGGTCCAAATAAGCCTGACAGGTGGACAGACTCGAGGTAGGGGACCTGTGAGGGAGGTGCCTGGATGACGGGGAAAGGCCTGGACCTGCCGTTGGCATGCTTGACCTTGAGGCCTGCCACCCGCTTAGTCCTTGGCAAGCCACACGGCCTCTCCAAGCCGCGGCTTCCTCACCTGCCAAATGGGGACGCTTTCTTTTTCTAAGTGTCAGATGCCACTGCCACAGGTGAAAGTGCAGAGCTCTGTCAACACAAGCAGTGGCCCCCAGCTTCTGGGTGACAGCACCCCCAGGCCAGAGGTGGAGGAACTGCAGTGGAGGCTTCTCAGACAGTGCAGTGGTAGGCGATGACCGATGACCGTGGTGGCAGCAGACCTACCCCGAGGGCTTGCTCTGTACCAGGAATGTGTCAACTCATTTCGTCTTCACAGCAGCCTTCCAAAGGCAGCCTTGTTATTGTCCACTCTTTCTAGATGAGGAACTGAGGTTCAGAGCGGGGGAAGAAACTTGTCTACGCTCAGGGAGTAAGTGGTGGAGTTAGGATTTGAACCCAGGCTGTCCGAGCGGGAGGCTGTATTCTCGAAGGGAAAGGATGAAGGCTGACATGGACTCACAGAGTTCCCGATTCACAGTGGGGAGGTAGATCAACTTTGCAGGAACTGTTGGACACTCATGTTTCTGGAGCCAGGAAGCTTAGTGCAGGCTCCTCGCAGGAGAGGGAGCAAGCTGAGGATAGCATGGAGTCAGGCGATGTGCTTCCCTAAGATGCCGGGGGGGGGAGGTTAGAGTTGTAGCGTAAAATCAAGTGACAGTGAGTCATGCCTGTCGCTAATAGTCCCTGCGGGGGCTGGAGGGAAGGGGTGGAAGGCGACAGGTGGTTGCTTTCTCACAAACCGCCCTTGGCTGCCAGCAGGGTGCACGCACCCCAAACTCTGCCAGTCCGGAACCCTCCTCCCCGTGGGAACCGACCGTCCTGTGCCCTTGGGTTTGAGAAGAATACCAACCACAAGGGCGGCTCTGCCAGGGCAGTCTCCGCCTGCTCATTGCCTCAGCCTCTGCCTGGTGGGACGGGAGCTGGGGAGCGTGGCCGCGGCGTCTTCTCCCTTTCCTGCTCTCAGCTACGAACCCTGTTTCACAGACAGGGACCCAAGCAGCTCAATGGTCTCTTTATGGCCCAGGCAGCAGCGGAACCCAGGCCTGCCACCCCTCCCAGAGCGGCTGCAGATGCAGGACACAGCTGCCCCTCTGCCCTCGGTGCTGCCAGCCAGTGCTGTGTTCCCACCCTGTCCCCAGAGCTGTGGGCACTAGTGTGGTACACACGCTGACACACAGCACGCCCACCTCACACCCACAGATTGAACGTACTCCCGGTCCTCACGTATGCCCCCCCCACCTCCCTGTCTCTCAGCCTGCCCTCATCCACCCCTCCTGCCTCCTGGGCTCCCACCTGCCTGGACAGCCCAGCAGGCAGGATTTAGGTGGACCTTGCCGTTCTTACCAATGTTGGCAGCCCTAGAGACGCCCCCGGCCTTCTCCAGGCCCTTCCCATATGCTCTGGCGGGTCTGATGCTGCATCCCTGCTTTCAGGCCCAGCTTTCTCTGTCCCTGGGAGGCTGGGCAGCCTAGGAGCTAGCGTGGCTCTCTCCCCTGTCCCTCCCTCTAGGCCCAGGATGTGCCAGGGCCAGGGGCTCTGGGAAAACCCTTCTGTCCTCTCTTGCCTTTCCCAGAGTACTCCCAGGACCACTCCTTGGAAGGCTTGACTGTGGTCCAAGGGACTCCAGGCTGGCACTCTCCCGATACCACAGGCGCTGCCCACTGTCAGTCCATCCGGGCGACCTTGGCTCCACTTCCCAGGCCATGTGACCAGGTCCCATTTCTGCCCTCCAGGGTCCACTGGGCAGCCAGGAGGGGCGGGAGGGGCGATACCTCACACCAGCCCTGGGAGGGTGCTGGACCAGCCCACAGAGAGCGCTGGGCCGCTGACCTGCCCGCCCCTAGGCTAGCCAGGCACAGTCAGGGAGCTGCTGAGCCACGGAGCTCCAGCCCCTCCCCAGAGCCCCACTCTCCAGCCTGTCTCCTCCCCTTCCACACCTGCACCCCAGGTGGTCTCTCCAACTCCCCTCTCTCTCTAAGAATCATGGGAGCATGACGTGTTATCCTGGACCTGGTTAGGGAACAAGGGATTTGGAGTCCTCCAGGCCTGGGAGAGGGAATCTCGGCCCTGTGTGTTAACTCTTCACTGTAATGGGGGCCTCGCAGTAGCGCCCACCTGGCAGGGTTATTGTGGAGGCTAGCACTGGGGTGCAGGTAAGCCGAGAGCAGAGTCCTGGCACAGTGTATGTGCCGGTTGCCATCACTACCAACAGCAGCCGCGTCACGGAGGACCCATGTAGATGGTGAGCAGACTGGGGTTCCAATCTCGGCCCTCTGCCTACTGTGTGGGCTGGGGCATGCTCCCTGCCCTCTCTGAGCTAGTTTTCTCGTCTGCTCATCAAGGCTGTAGGGGGCAGAGTCGCAGGGTGGGCCTTTGAGCACAGGGGAGCGTGCCTCACCACTGTGTTGGTGTCAGCTTTGGCAGGCCAGGTGAGATCAGGTGAGGTCTCAGGTGGGCCACTCTGGTGGTCTGCTGGGGTGGCAGAGGTGGCAGAGGATCCGGGAGGAAGCTGATCTCTTCTGCTGTTTGGGCTCCTCACCCCGGGCCCCATAAGCAGCTACAGCTCTGCAGTCAGGCTCTGCTGTGCTGGGCTGGGGCGGGAGGGCCTCCAGGGCTGACACAGCCATTCCTGCCCCCATGGTGCAGGCTAGGACAGGACGTGAGTCGAGCCTATAGCAGTAGGAGGTGCTCAGAGAGTGCGCTCCGCGGTGACAGATCTGTGCCGCCATTGTCAGTGAGAGCAGGCCTTTAGAGTGCGCACTGTATGCCAGGCACTGTGCTGTCGCCTTTCATCCTCACCAAAAGGCAGTGGTAACTGGGTATAAAACCCCTCATTTTCCTAATCAAGAAACTCAGGCCCAGAGAAGTCTCACAACTTACCCAGGGTCACACAGCTCAAAGTGGAAGAGCTGGGACTGGGACTTGGCAGAACCAGCCCCAAAGCTAGTTCTGTCGCCTTCTTACTGTCTCAGGCCAGGGAGGGAAGAGCAGCACTTGGTAAGTTGCAGGAAGTGCGTTCTGGGCAGAGGGAACCCTGTGAACAGGAAGCGAGAATCTTGGGTGGTTGCAGCATGTAGAGCGGCCAGAGCACGGGGACTTGGGAGTCTATGGCACCGAGCAGCTCGGCTCTGCAGGCCTCATGGAGGAGACCCGGAAATGGGCCATTCCTACTCCCGCCCGAGAGGGTACCGTGACAGCACTGTGTTCAAGGACTGAGTCCCATCGTGGTGGGGCCTTTCCTGGAGATACAAGGGCCTGCTGCACCCCAGGGCTCTAGGCAGCCCCCATCCTGGCACGCAGTGTGTTGCCTCAGCTCCTCCTGCACTCCCAGGATGAGCCACAGGCTGGGCATGTTAGCAGGGAAGTGGAGGGGACTGTGCTCCTAGCGGCAGCTCCTGTGGTTCTCCAGTGCTCCTGTGGTTCCCCCGGTGCTCCTGTGGTTCCCCTGCTCTTTTCTGGGCCCTATGGAAACTGGCCATCCTGCCAGGCCTACAGATCGGGGCAGCAAGAGACCACTCACTCCTGCCTGGGTATCTCTGGGCTCTCCATGGGCCCTAGTTCCATCCACAGAGAGGCTGGGCCTGCCCACCCAAGCCCTGGGTCCTTCCCACCCACCGTTTTGGAATTCAGCTTCTGAGGCAGGTGCTGGCCCAGACCACCCAGCTGGCAGTCGCTCCATTAGAGGCCGCGTGCTGGCCACTGCCACGTGGGCGAGGGGGCGACAGCAACCCTGCGGAAGAAGCGCTGGGGTCTGTTTTATGGAGAAGCTCAGAGGAGCTGTGGCCCTGCCCCACCTTCTCACTGCAGGCCCTAGGTCAAGGCTTCCCTGCTCAGTGCAGGTGTGGCCTCTTGGGTGGGGTGATCGTAAGCCCCTCCTCACACTACTCTTCCAGGATTCCAGAGCCAAGGCACTATATGGGGGACCAAGAAATGAGAGGCTTTCTTGCATAACTTAGTGGGTTGTCAGGGAGACTCACGTATGAATGCAGGGGACTGAGAAAACTGTGATGCAGCTTGTGGACAGGGACAGCGCATGCAGGGTATGCACAGGACAGAGGAGAGTGAGGCCGGGTGGGGGTGAGGGTGAGCTGAGGCTGTGCCCCTCCTGCCCCCTGCACACAGGTACGTCCAGAGTCTCCTGGACATCATGGAGTTCCTGGACAAGGACCCCGAGGACCAGCGCACCCTGAACCAGTGAGTGAGGGCTCTGGCTGGGGGTGGGAAGGCAGGTGTAGGGGAGGCCCATCTGGGGGTCACAGTCTTCCAAAGACCCCTCCTTCAGGGATATCTGGGCTGGGGAGAGGGGCAGACAGACCTCAGGGAGTCCCAAGCCTGATGGGAGAGACACAGATTCAGTCTCAGTGAGCCCTGAGTCTGATGGAGGGATCTGGGCCTGCCCTCGGGAACTCCCATAGAAGAATGGAGAACTCCAGGATTTTGCGCAGGAAGGCTGTGGGCCGGCAGCTGGGGGGCTGGGGTGGGGTGAGGCTGTAGGAGGAGTGGGAGGGGAGCGAGGGGTTGGAGTTGGGCTGGAGGGGTGGAGTGGGTGCAGGTGCTGTGTGGAGGTCAGAAGTGAAGGAGAGTTCGAGGGTGTCCCCAGGGACAGTGTAGGGTGAGCACCTGGCTCCCTCCAGATTCACCGATGCCCTGGTCACCATCCGGAACCGGCACAACGATGTGGTGCCCACCATGGCGCAGGGTGTGCTCGAGTACAAGGACGCATACGGCGACGACCCGGTCTCCAACCAGAACATCCAGTACTTCCTGGACCGCTTCTACCTCAGCCGCATCTCCATCCGTATGCTCATCAACCAGCACAGTGAGTGTGGCAGGGCAGCCGAGAAGGGGAGCGGCTGGAAGGGGCAGCAGGGGTGCCAGCCACGGGGGCTGCAGGGCCAGAGGAAAAGAGTTACTGGCTCCTCCAAAATGGAAAAAGAAGATGACAACATTGAAACATATGGCTTTAAATGCTTGCAAAATATACTATTATGTAACAGTATTAAAAATTATAAATTTCGGGGACCAGCAGTTGGCGTAATAGCTATGTTGCTGGACTCCCATGTAGTCTACCACAGTTCGAGTTCTGGGACCAGGCGGCTTAACCTCACACTGGGCGCATGTGCGTGCGTGCCCAAGATCCCGAGAGGAGAAAGGATTGCGGCGTGGCCATCCCCTCTGGGGGTGATTTCTCACTTTCTGTCTCTGTCTTTCTGATGAGCACATGCGCCCTATAGCAAAAACCTCTCAAAAAAAGAAAAGAAAAGAATAAATACCATGTGGGACGTATGTGGGGAGAGACCTCTGAGAAGAAGAATTCATGCAGCCTAGAAAGGTCCAAAACAGGCCTGAACCAGAGATGGAGGGTGGGGGGCAGGAGGAGAGGGCCTCTGGTGAGGGTGGGGTGCAGCTGTGAGATTAGCACCTGTGGAGGCATTTGAGGCAGAGGTGGAGCCCTGGGGAAGAGGCACGCAGGGGGCAGGCGCAGGCCCGCCAGCAGCTCCCTTCCGTCCCCGCCACAGCCCTCATCTTCGACGGCAGCACCAACCCAGCCCACCCCAAGCACATCGGCAGCATCGACCCCAACTGCAACGTGTCTGAGGTGGTGAAAGGTGAGCCAGCTCCGTGTGCTGGGCCGCACAGGAGCCCTGGGGACCCTCCCAGGCCTACCCAGCCAGTGGGGGGTGGGGGAGACACATTCCCATGACTTTACTGTTGGCGTGCCCAGTGTCAGTGACAAGAGGACTATTTGCTGACGGGCCACCTCGTGCCCTGAGTGGCCCTGTCTCCTCTCAGATGCCTACGACATGGCCAAGCTCCTGTGTGACAAGTATTACATGGCCTCACCTGACCTGGAGATCCAGGAGGTCAACGGTGAGTGAGCCAGGCTGAAGACGTGTGTCCCGAGCCTGGGCACGAGGGAGGGCGAGGAGAAGTGGACAGTCAGGCGGGGGGGCCTGGCCCTA